GAAAAAGTTTACGCCTATTTACTGCGAACGTTTATAAAACCACAGTTTAATTCATATTTTACCTTAAGATGGGTGGCATTAATGACATTTGAAATCTGTTACTTACTTCTGTGCTCTTATTGGTAGATTTTTTAAAATTCATCTGCAAAGAGAAAAAAAACGCACATCAGAATTGGCTCAAAATTGGCATAAACATTCTTTGATCTACAATCCGAATATTTCGGTTTTTCGATATTTTGCGAGATTTTAGAAATAATCCATAACGACTATAGGCAACCAGGGCTGGGTCTCTGTAATGGATAGAGATCGTTATCCCTATCGCTATGGTACTTGCTTTCTTCTTCTCTCTCTTGGAAATCAATAGAGAGGGTACATCAATAGAGAAAAAATCTCTATTCGTTAGAGAGTCCTAGTTCAAACATACACTTTCCATTTCGAGAAAAACGCAAATTATCGAAAAACAAAAATAATCGGATTGTACCTACATAATCCATCAATAGTATATTGTGTATTTAGGTGGAAAAGAGAATGTGCTTTTCCACTGAAATACACATACTATTTTATCTGCGATCGGTTAAATATCTGTTAAATGTTTGTCTTTTTGTTCCAATTATTCAGCAGTACGAGAATCACTTTCCCGGCCTAGGCCGGAAAAGTGAGGTTATTCATCGATTCCTTAGCAACTATTAGGCCAGTGCAAATAATTTTGAATTTGCAAAAATTTTTATAAAGCTGCAACTATCAAAAATAGTTAGCGTTAGTACTCCTAAGTAAACATACCAAAAGTCCCCATTCGTCCGGTTGTTGCGTCATTAGAAAAAACAATCCGCCATCTTGAATTTCGGCACTTTTCGGAAAAAATCGTGAATAAGTCCAAAACGGTACATTCTATCGAAAAAACTCAAGAGAGGAAAATTGAATAGAATGAAAAAATGAAGGAGGTATCATAAAAACTGAATGCGTACCATACCGTAGTAACAATCTAGGATTTTTTGAATTTTTGGAAAAGGACCCCGCACACTTCTTATGGGATTTCTGACCGCGGTCAAATTTAACCAAATTTTAGCATGTTATAGATCTCACCTTTCTGAGCAATAGCTACCATGAGCACAACTCAATCCTGTCGGTCACCTGAATGTGAGGATACCTGTCCTGATATTAATAGGTGACAGGTAGATGTAAATGCATAGAAAATGTGTGCATTTCTTGGACATTAAACTACCTGTATCTCAAAAACTAGTCATAGGATTAAGTTGTGCCCATGATAATTATTGATCAGAAAGGTGAGATCTATAACATACTAAAATTTGGTTAAATTTGACCGCGGTCAGAAATCCCATAAGTGTGCGGGGTCCTTTAGCAAAATCAAGGGAACCAGACCATAATGCAGTTAATGCATTTTTTCAATCCCAATAAACAAATAAAATTACCTTTTAACATTTATTTAAATAAAAAAACACTGTAAAAGTGTTTACCTACATATTACCTAATTTCAACTACCCTCGTATGAACTAATAATGAGTAATCGCAGATTCAATACAATAATACTATTCAACGCAAAAAAATTGACAAGGTCAATTTTACAATGTTTTGGCCAAAAGACAGGATAGGTGATAAGCAAATTTAAATTGACAATTTAATTTATACACAAAAAATCCCATAAGGACTGGTGTTTTTGTCATTATTACAGCGACAATTCCACTCATGTATAAATAATCCCATTTGAAATGTCAAAAATCGTAGTTTGCTAGCGGATAAATAGGAAGGAAGAGAAAATATAACTGGATAAAAAAATCGGATAAATTTTCTGTTGATGCAATCGTTACCGTAGTAACAATTGCATGAATTGCATATAAAATTGGTTTTTGAATCATCTGTCAAATAATTGTCACAAAAATTCACAAGTTCTATCATTTTAGCTTATTAAAAGTGTATTTTTAAATAAAATTAAAAATATTTTCAACATGCAGCGATTTGGGACAATTAAAGATGAATCAATAGCGAAATAGAAAATTCAATTCCTGAGAACACAGAGTCTTCTTCTCTTTCTGTAGAGTCAAATTTTAAGGGGCAAAATATTTATTCTAATTGTACCTTCAATAACTGTTCATTTTAAAAAGTATTTCCATATTTTATTTTGATTAGGCATTCGTGGAATTGCCGTACTAAATACCACTCGAGCTCAGATTTTGAGCAGGATATTTTTTTGCTTGCTCTCTCATACTTACTTTCATGCAATTTATCTCGATCTGTTCCACAAAATCACTCGAGCTGCGCTCTCGTGATTTTGTCGGAACAGCTCTCGTTAAATTTCCTGAAAGTAAGTATTCGAGACCAAGCCAAAAAATATCCGGCTAAATCTGAGCTCTTATGGTATTACCTACGACTATTTCACTAGAGTGTATTACACCGGTTATACAACTCATTGTACAATATTCCTATATGACACGAGAGGCTTAAAATGTGATAAGCCTTTTGGGATTATTGTTCGCGCTTGGTGGCAATATTGTTCATTTACTATTAATAATAATGAACATTAATAAAGTATCAAAGTTTAGTTCCTTGCATAATCTTTTGAATACCACTCGAAGTTTCAGGATTACCTAATACTTTTACCCGACACTCAACGTGTTACCAGCAACACCACTCCTCCTTCGGAGTCGTGGTGTTGTTGCGTAACGCGTTTCGTGACAGGTGAAAGTATTATCTGGTAATCCTGAAACCTCTTGTGGTATCACATTCGACAATAAATTCGGTATTCACCTGACAATATTGCTACCTGGACAATACGAACAACATGGTATTTCAGAGGTCAGAGACCATTTTTTGACATTGTCAAACTGATATTTTTAATTTGAAGTTCTTATTCATATTTTTGCATTCTATTTATTTTCAAAATCTTACGTGAAATAGTCATGACCAATACCACTCGAGAAAAAATTGTGTAGGTAAAATTGTTCTCAGGGTTTTATTCAAGTTTGTTGCTTTTCTGCAATTTCGCTCGTGACATTTTTGATAAAATCACTCGCTTGACGGCACGTGATTTTGTCAAAAATGTCATTCGCGAAATTGCCAAGCATTAAACTTTCATACCTTTCGAAAATTTTGCCGACAAATTTTTTTCTCTTGTGATATTAAAGTCTGTTTTTTTTTTAAAGATAATTCCCCAAGTCAAAAATATAGTAACTATGTTGGCAACGCAAGCCTTTTCTACATAAAAAATTTGAAAGCATTGACAATTTTACATTGTATTGCCAACATAATGTCAGTTTGACTTTTATCTTTAAAAAAAAACCACGGTTTATATATGAAAAAAAATTTCCCTAACTTTTCCAGCGACAAAACTGAACCTAGCTTGACATGACCAGCAAAATTTGTCATTTACGTAGGTATCCATTAAATTGTCTTACCGAATTACACTCAAGCTTTTTTTTTGTCGAAAAGGACACTTTACTTTATAATTCGAGTTTTGTTGTATTTAGGCAATTTAAGTCAAATTGCTAGGCAACAAAATTCTCATTGGAATATCAAGTTTACTTTGACAAAAAAAGGCTCTATATAGTGTAATTAATTATAAGTGACAATTAACTTTCTAATACCAAATAACATCATGAGAGTGAACCAAGGCCTTTCTGTTACCATTCAACAGTGACTACAATCTAAAACTGGGATACGATTTATTCCATCTTATTCGAATTGCTCTTCATCTACGGAAATTTGTTTGTTGTCGAAAGAAATGCCATTACAATTACCACATAGGATTGAACACGGAATATTCGACTTTATACATGTGCATAATTTGTTACATCCTGACTTGCAGTTGCAATATATCATATTCAGAACAAAATCAGGTGCCACTGCCTTTGACATAGTTTTTGGAACCAACATGTCTTTTTTTTCATCCCAACCCCAATGTGTTGGTTCTTTTTTTATTATTAAGCCAATATTGAATTTGTAAGTAAGTCCTATAGTAATGATTCTAATCAGCTCCGTCTGAAGTTGGAGGCAAAGTAGCTAACTCAAAGGGTTTTGTATTTATAATATCTCAACTGATCTAAATCATCAATCATCAAACATTTTGTTTTGTTCTGCGATTTTCGCGCCTTAAATAATTAAATTATCAAAACCGAATAATTAACAGAATTGAAAATTCATAAGTTGATAGATCGCTATGATACAAAATTACTTCTCATTGTATATGATGGATTTTTTAATTCTCTTCAATTTTCATGTCTTAATTTTTTTCAAAAAAATTTACAGTTTTCGAGTTATTCGCGGTTTTTCCCAAACAGTGCTGAAATTCAAGATGGCGGACGACTTTTTTTGGTGACGCAACAGTCGGAGGCATGGGGACTTTTAGTATGTTAATAAGGGGTACTAGGGCTACTTATTTTTGATAGTCGCAGCTTTATAAAAATTTTTGCATTTTCAACATTGTGAATTTCATAACTGCACTGGCCTATATTGAAACATAATTAAAATACCAGAATATTGAGTTTTGCGACCTATCAACCGGTCAAAAATGTTGACATTTCTTGTCAATCGCAGAAAAAGAATGTTTATGCCACTTCTGAGCCAATTCTGATGTGAGTTTTTCTTTCTCTTTGCAGACGAATTTTAAAAAATCCTCATAGAACTAACAGATTTCAATGTCATTAGCGCCCCTTCAAGAGCGCTCTTATGTATTTTTATTATTTCTTTGTGTTTTGTTAAGCTTGTATATTTCATAATCAGTTATTATGTACTTTGGAAAGTGAAGTTTTTGCACCTTGTCCGTGATTTTAAGTAATGCTGAAAAAAACAAAAATAAGTTTGCCTCATCTAAATTTTCGGTTGCCCCCTCTGGAATCAAAACCTGGCTACGGGCCTGACGAGATGGCATGCTTCCTGCAAGAAAAGTTACTTTTTCTCGATATTTTGAGTGGTACCGCTTATATTATAAGTGACTCTGCAATTCCAATCAGGTAAAAATAAGGAAAAATACAGAACAAAAAATTCATATACAAAAGATATTTAATTTTATGTATAGTTATAGTTGGACTCAAACATTTTTACTCATGAAAACTTATCAGCTAGGAAGCGATAACATTCAAAAATGAATGTAACATATGCTCCTCAAAAATCCTATGTGAATCCAACGGTAGGTATTTCAAGTCTCGCTCAAGTTGGCCTCCCACGTTCGTTTTTGTTGTTTTTCTCAATTGTGCTCGTTTTGTGCAGTGCCGGTGTTTATGCGAATTGTGCTTAATCCCATACACCAAAAAAAAATTGAAACAAATCCGGGGGCTTGATTCCAGCTCTCCTAGCTGGAATCAAGCTGGCCCAAAAAGTCAAAAAAACGGGGGGCTGGAGTCAAGCTGGCCCCCAGATTTGTTTCAATTATTTTGGTGCATGGGATTAAACACAATTCACATAAAAACTGGCACAATTGAGCACAAATGACTACAACTGAGAAACAGTACAAAATCGGATGCGGGGGCCAACTTGACCGAGTCGTATTTTTAAGTATGAATAATTATTATTGGAGGTTGATTCACCACGCTTGAAGGGATATCACAGAATTTTATCTTACGTTCTTATCTATCCTAGAAATTAATATAAATATGGAAACTTAAAAAATGTAGTGCCTATTGGTAGTAAGTTTTTTTTTCAAAGGAAAATTTGAAAATTACACAAAATGGCACTTAATGACAAAAACCACTAAACCTACTAGAAATAAAAGGAAAATAGTAAATGTTATACATAAATTACATAGAAACACCACAGCACAATATTGACTAAATAAATGTTAGAAAAAGATAATCTAGAATGAAATAAATCGATTAATATTAGGTAACTTCCTTGAAAAATGGCAAAATCGATTTGGATACATATCTTTGGCGAATTCTATTATGGAACTTGTACCCAAAAATTATTACATATTTCTATAAAAAATTGAAAATCCTTCTAAACTTGGAAGCTATTATTTATGATCCAGATACTGCAAATTCGCTATCTTAACCTGAACAAACTTCTGAATGATCATCCCATGCTGTCACCTGGAAAATGCATAAATTTTATTTTTGCTGAACATCATTGATTATTTTCCTACCTGACAATCTCGACTACAGTACCACTGATTGCCACACCCCGCGCAGACGAATTGAGCAGCTCGTTGATTACAACCCTGACACTGGGGTACATCTTCTCCATCTTCTGATTTATTATCTTCTTTTCTTAAATTTGAACTATCCAAGGTTTCATCGATCACCAGGCGGTCGACTGGATCTTCAGATTCATCTTCCATCTAGAAGAAAAATCATGAACAGATATAGAGCTATGATGGAAAAATTGCTTACCAATTCTCTTTTTATTGGCGTTTCAAATTCACTTCCGACTGGGGTGATGGTTATCTCATTTCTTACCTAAAAATTTTTTAGATATTGAATTTGAAAATGAGGAAACGGCATTTTTATTATTATTTCAAGGAAAAAAATGCCCTATGCATAGGGCATTTCCTATGTGGATATTTGTCATAGTTTAATACATCCAAATAAACGAATTGTATTAATAGTCCAGCAGGCAAGTACTTTCTGCTGGAAAGTATTCCGAAGTTAATGATATTTGGGTATGTCATTTGTGGGTAGTCTGTGGAGTAAAATCTGAGTTTTCGACCTCGAGGATCCTGTGCTAGCTTAGGGGGAGTCGAAAAAACTGAAATTTTCGGACTTTTTCAGTTTTTTGCTTATATTTTCTAAACCATGCGTTTTAGCGGAATACACCGCCTAGTTATAAAGTTGAAGAACATTAAATTTCCTTCAAATTTCACCAGTCGAACGTATTATTTAACGCAATAGTAACCGAGATACAGTGGTTCAAAGATACAAAAAAATCTCAACTTGTCAAAGATTTCTTCCCGTCCGAACATAATTCAAACCAAGCATGGGATAAACCTTAGATTAAACATCTTTTATCCTCGTCTCTTTCACGTGTACCGTGCACTCACAGACGACGTCTACTGTGCACCTGAATTATTTTCCGCGTTAACCGCAAATAAAATCTCGAAATTATCGGACTTTTCCAGTTTTTTGCTTATAACTTCTCAACAAAATTCAAATTTCCTTTAAATTTCACTGGCCAAAAGTATTCGATCTAATAGTTACTGAGATATAGTGGTTCAAAAATTCAAGTAATTTCTCAGATTATCAAAAATAGCATAAAAATGCAGGTTTTTGCCCTAAAAATTTGGAAAACACAAACTTTGACTATGAGTTCAGCAAAGATCACCGATATTGTTCTACTGCTTTGGTGCGTTGCTTTGGTAACCTATGCCAACAGGATACCTACAAAAACCACTATAGAATTGCTCCCGAAGCGTCTTTGAACATAATCCACGTAATTTTGGCACAAATTGTCTCTTGATTTGCTCCACACAACCTTACGTAGCAGTTAGCCACCAGCAATAACTGCGCATTTTGCTGCTGCCGAAGTCTACTGGTTCTTGTATAGGAGAGGATGCCGCATACAACATTGAAATTTTGCCCTGGTGCATATCTTCCTCTGTGAAGAGAGACATCGGTGAGGAGCTAGCTCGTATTTCAACAAGTTTCTAAGGTCATCACCCGATTGTTTTATTATGCGAATCCGTTGAAAGAGAGCGAGAGGGTCTATTGTGAACTTTTTGTCTTTAATTTTCGCACAACAGGAAACAGATGCTAGAGAAACAACCCTATCTTTCCGCTTCAATTTCATGTGTTGAAAATTCCCTTTGTCCAAACAGGTTTTCATACAGGTGATAGGTACCTACCAATAGTTCCAGCTGAGTGGCAGTTCACAACTTCAGGAGCCACAGGAGCTGTGCCTATTGAGAATAGCTCTTTTGTATCCAGGAAAGGAGGATGGTCAGTAGATGCAAGTTCAGCACGGATGACATCAAAATCAAAAAAGGTTTATTTTCCAAAAATAATTACCTATTAAAATAGGATACAATAAAAACATAATTCAGGGGCACAGTAGACTGAGTGCACGTGAAAGAGACGAGGATACAAGATGTTTATCCCATGCTTGGTTTGAATGTTCGAATTATATTCGGACGGGAAGAAATCTTTGATAAGTTGAAATTTTTTTGTATCTTTGAACCACGGTATCTCGGTTACTATTGCTAAATTTGGAGGAAATTTAATTTTCTTCAACTTTATAAATAAGGCGTATTCCGCTAAAAACTCATGGTTTAGAAGTTATGAGCAAAAAACTGAAAAAGTTAGAAAATTTCTAGGTCTTTCGACTTCCCCCCAAGTTAGCACAGGGTCCTTGAGGTCAAAAACTTAGATTCTACTCCGCAGATTATTCACAAGCGACATGCCAAAATATCAATAACTTCGGAATACTTTTCAGCTACCCCCTTCATTTATTACTTGCCTGCTGGCCTATAATAAGCGAAAAAAGAAAAAATGCCATTTGATGATACAAGCATGAAATTTGACACAATTGCTAAGTAGACCATTTTAATCGATTTGAATCGAGGACCCATCGACTTCTCTCACTGCCACTAGAAAAATGGCCATTTTTCCAAAATGACGGTCGATTTTTCAATTCTTATTTTGACTCGGAGTAGAAAAGCATAATTATACTCTAGTCAAAGAGCTATATTATATTTCGGGTACGTAGAAAAATAATAAACTAGTTCCACCACAATCAAGTCAAGTGTGTGGCTCTGGCAGGGATAATGGATATTGCTAATATGTTTGCTGACTATTTCTCCATAGTCTATTCATACAATCACTCTGATACACCCAACCACGAAATATCTTCCTCCAATATTCATATCCCCAAACTGCATCTTCACCAAACTTTCATTTGCAGGCATTAATAATAAGGCTGCGGAACCAGGTGGGGTACCTACCTATAATATTTCTTAAAAGCTACAGTTTTAATCTCTCCAGACCTCTTTCATAAATGCACATACAAAAATGGACTTTACGTTTTAACTGCTGACTACTTCGTGAATAAGGGAACTACACCATTTCCAAATCCAAGCGGCAGTAAATGACATTAAATAACCTAAATTGTAAACAAACACCAGCCTTCCTATTGGTTTAAACGCCCTACCTGAACTAGTGCCCCTGCACGGAGGACATTTGATAGGTTGTAATGAAAATGACCAGTTTGTCATTTACTGCCGCTTGGATTTGGTTCAACCATACTAGATGCTCATTCAAGGGACCGGAAAAACTGGTCGAAGGGAAAAACGAACAAAGAAAATAATAGGTAGGTGAGCTTATACATGTAGCAATGTTTGTGGTCCATATAATCCAATTTCATGGCGTACCCGATTGGTAAATTCAGTGCGCACTGAGTGTATTTGCATCCTTTTAATCGACCTGTAGAAGAAAAAGACAGAAATAGAAAAAATTGCACTAGTTCCGCACTAAATCTGCCAATCGGAAACGCCATCAGCTGAAGGAGCAAAATAACGGGTCTTCGAAAAAACCAATTAAAGATTGCTATGGTTTTTAAACGTATATCTCAGCAATATTTTTCTTTAATTTTGTCAATGAACTTCAATGTCAAAATGTCATGTCAAAAATTCTGACCAATAAAGAAAAATGCGACATGTGACGTTTTCGTAATCAAAGCAATCTTTGATTGTTTTTTTTTTACCTAATTAAATTCCTAGAATCCAAAGATGAGGCTGATGAAAATTCAATTAAGTATACAAACGAAGTAGAAAGACAACATAATCTAAAAGTTGAAGCTTTCATCAGGCTTGATAATGAAGGTGAATTTTTTTCAAACAGATGCAAACCAAAAGAATATTGCAAGATAAGAGGAATAATATTAGAATATATTATGCCATACACTCCTCAAGAAAATAGGACTGCAGAGAGGATGAATAGGACACTTTTAGATAAAATAAGAACTAAAATTATAGAATCAGCAATACCAAAACACAAAGCAGTTGTGGAGTGAAGCTTTAAAATGCTCAGTATATGAGTTGAATCGATTGACTACCAAAGCGTCACTTAGAGGCACTACACATTCAACAGTCTGGCATGGAAGAAACGACTTGAGTAAACTCAAAGTCTTTGGGTGTCGTACATGGTACACAGTATTGACGGAAGGTCACAAGTTTGATTAAAGGGCAAAGAATTAAAACAGTGATAGTGATGCTTGGATATTGCGGCGGTGGTTATAGAATATGGCTATGAAATGAGGAAAAATTAATAAGATCAAGAGACGTTCATTTCGATGAGAGCATTATGCAATATAAGTCAAAAATCACTGATGAAATTCTAGAAAAATCTTTGGAACAGCAAACAATAATTTATTTCCCCGAAGAAGACAAAACAAGTGAAAGTGAGTCAGAAAATATTCAAGAACAAACAGAGTCTAGTAATGAAAAATTCAAGTGACGAATATGGAGATAGTAATGACAATATTGTACCATCAACAGAGACTAATAACTAAATCTGGAAGGATGGCGAGGATACCCAAATCGATAGATAATTATGAAATTTATACTGCTTATTGGTTATTATCAGAGATCAATGAAGCATCCAAAAGTTACAAGGAGGCAAGTGAAATACGATTGGAAGGAATCAATAAATAAAGAATTGAGTTCCCATAAAAAATTGGAAACTTGACAACCAGCAAAGCTGCCAGAGGGTCAATCTGCAATTGACACACGCTAGATATTTGAAATTATAAAGAAGACGGAACAAGAAAAGCACGACTGGTTGCTAAAGGTTTTCAAGTGAAGAATAATGAAGATGACGAATTCACTTATGTGTGCAGATTGTCCACAATATGAATATTAATGTCTGCATCTGTACAAAATGATTGAAAGTTACATCGAATAGACGTGCCAGCAGCATTTTTGTACGGGATTTTGGAGAATAATGTATTTATAAAAGGTAAAAAGTTCCAGAGGGACTTAATATAAATGCAAAATAACTTAAACTAAATCATGCATTGTATGGTCTCAGAAATGCACCAAATTGTTGGAATATGAAATTTAATAAAGTAATGACAAAGTTGATTTTCAAAAGATCAAAATATGATAACTGTTTGTATGTGAAGAATAGTATTTATCTAGGCCTTTTTATTATTCTGCGTCCCCATCTCCCAAATATATAGACTAGAGTATAATCATGCTTGTTTATCCCGAATTAAAATTGAAACAAAAAAATCGTCCGCCATTTTGGAAAAATGGCGATTCTTTTAGTACCAGTGAGGAAAAAGTCGATGGGTCCTCGACTCAAATCGACTAAAATGGTCTACTTAGCAACTGTGTCAAATTTCATGCTCATGTATCATCAAATGGCCTTTTTTTTTTTAAATTCCCTTAAGCAACCAGACTAAAAATTTACACTTTGCCATACATGCGTGGCTTCACCCATCGTCTCCTAACTTTAACATAAGATAATCAAGAAAAATAGTAAGCAATTACAATGTAAGGCCTGAATCAACTTGAAAAAAGAATCTTGTTTTTTACCTTGCTTCCTGGAAAAATGGCTGACAAAGCAATATTACTAGCGTTCAACAAACTTCCACTCATCATATTTGTTGGAGTTGAGGTTGCACTTCTATCTGGAGCTGTTAACAGTCTAGCTAGAGTGGGACTAAACGAAGATTTCCCTCCATTTACTTTTGTCTTGCCATTGGTTTTTTGACGGTTAGGAGTTTTTGTTAAAATCCCATGCAATAGAGAATTTGTTGGAGCCACTGAGCTTGTGCTAGTAACTGGATGTACTGTGACTTCAGGATACGGCGGTGGAAGTTTGGAGGCGTTAAGTTGCATTTGAAGTTCAGTTTTTTCCGCTTGGGATAGTCTGGCGCATTGAAGCAATATGTCTTTGTAGGTTTTTATTTCTCCACTGGGACGATTGTGGGAGTTTTGATTGGAAGAAACACGAGAATCATCTTGAGTCTAGGATAAAAGCAAATGTATAGAAAATTGACTACAACTGTTTTTCCATACTCACTCCATTTTGACTAGGCATATCACAATGGTCTAATCCCGATTTTGGTCCAATGAGACTGCCACCTGAAAATCCGAATATACTCGTTTTACCCTCACTTTGAGAATGCCTTATACGCCTACCTCTTCGTGGAACGCTTTCTGGATGGCTTTGCCTGAAAAATAAAAATCAAATAACCAAAAAAATCATCAAATCACTTCTTACCTATAATCCGCTATAATTGATTGAACATCTACAACAGGTTTTTGCTTATTGTAAGCATTATTCAATAGGCTAGTACGTCGTTTAAGTTTCTCTAAATTAGCTGCTCTAAGTTCTCGCAACATGTTGGCTTTTTGGTTGCATTTCTGAAGACTTTGTTGGCCTAAAAAGGAGTTCAAAATTGTTTTTATCACTAATATATTTTAAATTTCATTCCACTACCATTGGTTTCGGGTTGAATGTCATTTAGATCACTATCGTTGAAGATCAGAACTTGTCTCTTCCTTTGTAATCTTAAGAGAAGTTCCTCTTTCAATTTCTTCATGTGCAACAATTGGTTCCACTCTTGTTCCTTTTCCTTGGCAAGCTCATTCAAAGTTTTAATCTCAGACAAAACTTGATCACTAAATGATTGGATTTGTTCAAGATTATTACAAGCGGCCACTTCAAAATAGTCTCCGATAATTTTTTCTCGTGCCATAAAGTTATCTTCTATGTCAGTTTTAAGTCTTTTCATTGGTGGCGAGTCGTAATCTAATTTTCTTTTATTACTGGGCGGTTCTGAAGATGAACTGTGACTACTAAAAAAAAAATATAAAGTTGTGACTGGTGAAACTCAAAATTATTGCATTTAGGCAATCTTTTTGGTGAACTTATTCTAAATCCAAACTAAAAATCCCGCCATACAAAATAGTACAGGATGATGTTCAACAAATTAGAGACAAGCGTTTTAGGGCACTAAATACGGGTGATGGTAAATTCGGTCCCGGCAGCATCTAAACATTCCGGTATAGGATTCGGCACCTAGGCATATTTCATTGGTCCGTTTGAATTCGGACCGCCAATTAATGAGGAGTGCCGAAATCCGTACTTGAATGTTGAACGGTGCTGAGCCTCAGGTCGGAATGTTACTCCGTTAGCGCGGCACAAAATCAACAAACAAACTTTATTTACTTTTTGTTACACATTTATTTTATTTCAACGATACATTTCAAAAAATCTTGGACAATAATTTGCAGTGGCGGACCCAGGGGGGGATTATAAATACCTGAAACCTGGCAAATTAGAATAGAAAATTTTGGAAATAAATAAATACCCTAATATATTTATCTTTTTTTTGGTATCTGTGGTGCTTATTAAAATATCAATTGAAGCCAGGCAACAGCAGTTTTTGGATTTTCCTTTCTTATTATTTCCTTGATACACTTTTTTATAAGCACTATGATGGCATACAAAAACATATCTAAAAAATGTATTTTCCAAAGTCTATTCGCATCCAAGAAGATTCTACGTCATTGAATTGACATTGAACACAAACCTGCATTTGAATCTGTTATAATTATTTTTCGCTGACTTCACATTCCAATCCGTGTATGTTATATCACTATACTCTTCTATCCATTGCTTTATATCGTTTTTCTCCAAATTGTTGGATCGTGAAATTTGCTCACCACATTGAAAGTGTTTAAATGATCCAGGCAAACTCATCTTGCATGTTTAAGCACAAGAACACATGAAGCAACGGCAAAATAAACCGCATCCGCCGCAAAATTGTAGCTAAGAGGAACACGAAGGAGGTGGGCAGCTGATTAAATATAAAAACCGCGCCAAACGCATGGCAACATTCGGACCTGATACTCAGCACTGTTTAACATTTTGACCTTAGATTCGGCACTCCACATGGCTGTTGCTAATGGACCATTCTGACCTGAGGCTCAGCACCGTTCAACATTCAAGTACGGATTTCAGCACTCCGCATCAATTGGCGGTCCGAATTCAAACGGACCAATGAGATATGCCTAGGTGCCGAATCCTATACCCGAATGTTTAGATGCGTCCCGGCAGGTAGCAGAATAAATTAAAAATTTTATACCCTTTTATCGATGAGTAAATTCCGTCCCAACCATGTTCATTGCTAAGGGTTTTACAATACTTGTCTGCCAATTTTACCTAATAAATAGGCAACATTCCCTATTTTTATTCATTTCTGTTGTGAATTCGACTTGTGCTAATCAAAGAGTTGTTATCATAATAGGCTGCCGATTTCATCTTTCGCAAACATGGTATAGAAAAATTCAATAAATTGGTATAATACCTGTGTACAAAGATGAAAGTTCCGACGCGAGACGATGGCTTAGAATGACTTTTGCGCTCACCTTTCTAAATCCTGTTGAAGTCAGTGATTGTATTGTATTTGACTTGCTCTTAATTGCACCACCGAACGATGAGAAAGTTCAGATGTATTGCGATTATTCAATAGATAATTACATATCTGAGGAGTCACTATTCCCTCCTACAGTTTGAGCTCCAAACTCCGGCAAAACTTACAAGGAATATACCAACACTTGTGAATCTTCTCATAGACACTTTAATGATTCGTTTTACAAGTCTCGTCCAAACATTTTTGATTTTGTTGATAAACTTAAGAAGAAGTTTTAGATTGAAACTTATGTGAAACTACAAAGTGTACATTTGAATGCCAAAATTATCAACAGCAAAGTTAGAAATAGTAAAATATTTATTACAAAAATGATCGATTCATATGCTAAAAACGAAATAAGTCGTTTGCATTTTATTAAATGTGTCGAATTTCACTGTGCGGGTGCGGTTTAAGTAATTATGACTTTTTTTAATAATTGACACAATTTCTGAATCTATAATCAAAAATGTGACTACATTGGTCGCCATACTATTTTCTGCTAATGGTGCTCTATTACCATCCGAAGGCTTTGTATAGACGTAATGCGCATGCTCCGCAGCAACCTGTGGATTTATAACGACGGCTTTTAACAGCTGATGTTTTACGTGCTCATCCCAATATTTGCATAGAAAACTTTATGAATTTTGAGTCAACAGGCCCGAAGTTTTGGTGTTAAAGGTAATTTAAGCTCTACTTTCAATATTACAAATCAGTTTTTGTATCAGTTAGTGATTTTGTGAAACTAGACATTTTTTTAATGGAAATTAATTTGAGGTTCTGTTTGATAGTGACAATGTTAGCCCCCCCTTAGTTCAACATTGACACAGTCAATGTGATCCTTAGGCCAACTTTAACTCTCAAATTTTTTTGTAGATGGCACGCACAAAGAAACCCAGACGCCCTAATATTCGAAAGTACAAGTCCTATGATTACGAGGCTATGCAAAAAGCTCTGCAAGCAGTTAGAAATGATGACAGTTTTAAGGCAACCGCTCAACGTTATGGCATAAACCGGGCAATGAACCATTTTAAAGGATTTAAGTGTAAAGCTGTTGGCCATTCTACAGTTTTAACCTATGAGGAAGAGGAAATGTTGGTGCATACGTTAGTTAAGCTTGGCGAATGGGACTATGGATTCGACCGACTACAGCTCCAAAGATGTGTGCAAGACTACGTGCAAAAACTTGATCGACCGAATCCGTTCCGCAATGGAATGCTAGGTATTGATTGGTGCATGATGTTCGAAAAAAGATGGTCTAAAGAAATAAGTAGACGATTGGCTCAAAATCTTCCCAAGAATATATCTGTAGCGGGGTCACAGGAGGTAATGGAAGATTGTTATAATAAATTGCAAGCTGTCTATTCGCGTTTCGGTTTGGATAAAAAGCCACAGAACATCTTTAACTGTGATGAAATTGGTTTTCAAACCGATGCAGGTGTCCAGAAAGTGTTTTGCAAAAGGGGTAGCCGAAATTCAAACAAATTAGTCGGTAGCGTCACAAAAGCTACGTACACGGTTCTTATGTGTTGCAATGCTGTTGGAGTCTTCTTACCAATGTTTATCAACTACAAAGGACTTCACCTGTATTCCACTTGGTTTTTTGATTGGTTTATCAACTGTTTTATTCCTTCAACTTCAGATCTACAGGGTACTAAGCTTCTTATTTTGGATGGGCATAACTTACATTTATCTTTGGACTTGGTAGAAACAGCCGCAGAACATAATATCGAAATACTCTGTTTACCAGCTCACACGTCCCATTTAGTTCAGCCTTTAGATGTTGGCGTCTACAAATCGGTTAAGGCGTCTTGGAGAAAAATACTTCGAGATTTTTATCAAGAGTCGGGTTATAAAAATGTCGATAAAATTATATTCCCTTCTTTAATGAAAAAATTGGCCAACACTCCAAGTTTGTCCAGAAGTAATGCAGTAGGTGGCTTTGATGGGTCGGGCATTTACCCTTTGTCTTTAGAAAAAATGACAAAAAAATCTCAGATGGCACACATTGTTAACCGGTGAGGCTTCTGCTCAGATGCCATCCACATCTTCTGGGGACTCAGGCGAAAATGGCCAGTTGCCGTCGACATCTTACAACATAAGGAATGAAATAGCCAGCGCCGTAGCAACCATGGCGCCACGGCCCACACCTTGGGGGGCCCACTAAAAGCAGGATAATCACTGACTTGAACTCAATTATTTTAATTCGATTGCATCATGTTAAAAATCTCAAAATCTGAAATGCAAACGCCCAAACGGTGTTTTCTTGTCTTGCGATTTGTGCGACGCGTGCAACTCGTTCGGCGCGGATCAGTGGGCGCCTACCTTTAGAGGTTAGCTGCCCGTTGACGGACACGCTGTGCTGGCTGACCGTGATGAAGTCAATGACATTGGTGATAGAGTTTCTTTCCGATGAGTAGTTTAAATAAGAAGCACCAATCTGGTGCAGCAAAAAGAAAGAAGAAAGCCCAATTACGCACCAGCTGACGTCAAACACATATTCTCTCAATGACATTTTTGTCCCCCTATCGAAAGTGACGTTTTATGATTTTTGACTGATTTTCGACGTAATAGCTAGCGTCTGCGTGTAGAAATAGACGTTCAAACGCTTTGTTTGTCCCCCCATCGATTGTCGAATATGAGGTTGTGTGTGACGTCAGCTAGTGCCTAATTGGGGGGGCCCTCTAACAAAAGTGGCACCAGGGCCCATCCATGCCTTGCTACGGCGCTGGAAATAGCAGAACAGATACCCTGTCCTTCTACACCAGAAGATATTAAAACAGGTTTAGCAAATTCAATTTTGTCAGTCCTAAGGAATGAAAGCACAAAAAAATCGACCGTTATGAAGAAAAACAGAGTAAACAGAAAATTTGCTGAAAGCCTAACAGACAAAGATGTTTTAAAAAGACTTCGTGAAAAGGAAGAAGAAAAGCAATCTAAAAAAAAAGCAAAACCAAAAGCAACCATTGGCAACCAAAAAAAGAAAAGAAAGGCACAAGAATCACAAGAACCTAGCTCCAGCTCGTCAGAAAGTGAGGTAATTTCACTGATCTAAAAAATAAATGGATAAACAATCATACGGCTTGAATGGCAAAATGTGTGCGATAATTTGGGGTCAATATTCTACGAACAGTTGTGCAACGGAACAGCCTAAAGGCCGAAACCCACTAGCAACACGCCACGCCATGCTACGCTACTCCACGCCATGTGACACAGGTGACGGGACGGGTTATGTCGTGGTATCGCGTGTAGCAAGTGTGTACGCGGCACATGTAAATGAATGGAAGAATATACGCATACATTTTCGTCACATGGCGTCGCGTGGTATAGAATGGCATGGCGTGTTGCTAGTGGGTTTCCGCCTTAACGCCTGCGCAGTGTCTT